CACGTGTTAGAGAGCACTTAGTCAGTGACAAGCCTCTTACATTTTCAAGCATCTGCGAGATTCTGCACATTGTCGCGCATTGTGTTCAGCAGATAGCTCCCATGTTTTGGATCACGCCTCTACCGGTTTTCAACTCAAGACAAAAGAGGCTATTCATATTCAAAGAGAACAACCACCCTTGAATCAACAATTACACCATGTAAATCTAAAACTATCCTTTTAATTCTCACACTTTCATGCTTTACTTCTTTTCTTGATGTGTCACCATTTATCGTAATTAGCATTTTTCTACTTACTATATAATTCAACTTCCAACGCTTTGTACATTAATTAACTGAAGATGACAGAAGTTTCTGTCGAAACATGTATTACAGACTTAAAAGTTTTGTTGCTTTCTATAAATTCTTGACTTGCCTGCTAATATCAAGACCATTTAAATAATCCTTTTCTTGCCTAACCGAAGAAGGGAAAAAAGGTTAAAATCTGCCTAGAAAAAGCTTCGGATCTTCTTCCTTACTGGTGATCAACGAGGCTACGAAGAATAACCAGCAAGCGTAGACTTAGTTTGTTTCCGAACCACTGCTCTTTTTCAGGGTTCAGCATCCATTCATACAACACCACCGTTTTTAGGACGTAAGGGGAAATCAGTCTGCTGGTGTGTTGTAAAGAATTAGCCGCTAAATTGACGGCAAATTGCAAAAATCACTGTCGTGCGAGGTTCCTGTGAATTCAGGTGTACATTCGAGCCTGTGGCGGTCACCCATTGGGTAATCGCTAAATACACTGGGTCGTCCGCTTAATTCGGGTTCAACCGAATAGGGGTATTACAAAAACGATTAAAAAAAAATCCATTTTATCCCATAACTGACCACTCAATATACAAAAAGTCACTCAAAAATGCTATTAACACTGATTTCGGGGAAAACACATGGATTAAATGCTGCTTGAAAGATTATTCCTAGTTTTCTTTGAGTGGTTCCACTCTACGTGACCGTTCAGCAGGTGGAGGACAATACAAAAAGGCCATCTTAGGACTCAGTAAGGGGGCCACGACCGCTTAATACAGGTGAAAATTACGAGTATTAATTGGAAATAAATTCGGAACTTTGACCGCTTAATACTGGGTGACTGCTTAATTCGGTGCCGCTTAATACAGGTTCTACTGTATCTGGACATTCGATGTCACGTAAATGCTTTCAGTAACCTGAGGGACTTTGCTTGACCGCCGTCACAGCCAAATGTGTGGTAAAATAATTTCTGTTCAAGGCACGACTGTGAGAAACGCAGACGTAAAAGTTCTAAAGTGGTGTTACAATCAGCAAATAAATTTTGCTGAACTTCTGTGAGTACATTCTCTAACGCACCGACAACATAGCAATAAGGTAATTTATCAAATGGAGATCGAACTACTCTTTCTGTTGGGGTTTCAAATTTGATATCAACCATTTTAGGTCAATTGTTTATCCGCACGACTAAAGCCAAATCAACGCTGATTCTTAGCCCTTTTTACCGTTCTCCGCCGTTCTGTTCGAGCAACAGATATATGCTGGACCTATTTTGATAGTAGTGGCGGCGCAGGTACAGTTTCATCAGCTTCACGAATCAGCACTTTTTTACGAGTCACGTATATTTCAGGAGGCAAATCGCGGCTCACACTGGTTCATGAGTACACACGCCTTTCTTTGAAATCACGTGTCACGTATAAACTCTTTGCTGCCCTCATTCTTGCAGTAGCCGAATTAGAGTTGCAGTCAAAGAATGGCACTGTCGGAGAGTATCTCGTCTCTGATGAAATGAAGTCTGTTGAACAAATGATGTCTCCGAGCTTTGTTTAATTTAAATTTTAAAATCCAACGTGTCGAGGTTTTTCTGTAGATGCAAGGCACAATTATCTTTATTGAAGCGATTTCTGAGTGGTAAGTTCGAAGTGGAAAGTTACTGGATAGGGTAATGGATGAATGTGCGAACGGACGGAGTAACGTTGCAAGCCGATGGAGCTTACTTGCATTTTAACACTTAGCTTTTAAGAGAAAATTAATTTAAAAAAAAAAAAAAATCAGTCATTCTCACTTCATATCCTTTGACGGTGAAGACAGTTTAACAGATGCATCAATAAAACTGGGCAAATATTTTACAACCACTTTCGGTGCAATTAGACCTTAGGGGAGAAGTCCATTTGAAAAGGGAAAAAGGTAAATGTGAGCTTTTACTCGTTTTCTTCCTATGTAACGATTCCATGTAATCTTTTCATACCATGCTTGTGGTGTTTCTGCTTCTTAAGTCTAGTAAACACAAACAGACGTACAAGATATACATTTTTCACCCAACAGATAAGGATAATGGTTTCGACTCAAGACTGAATTAAAATACTTCATTATCCCAGGAGACTTTTTTTTCAGCTTTAAGATGCGGATGGTTTCCTTCCGGATCTCAACTGATTTTTGCGCTGAAATAGAGACACGGAAAGTTGCTGGAGGTGCCATCTCAATTATCACTTAAAACGCTTTGATTGGAAAGGCTTCGGCCCTAATAATTAGTGATTCAATTACCTACAATCCAGAGAAAATCGTTTGTAAAGACCAAGGGAAAGTGATTCATTCGAGACATTATTATTTTTTTCTCCGAACCAAACAATTATATGGAATTCTTTGAAACGGCTTTGTGCAATAATGAAATATTAAACAATACACGATCCGCATTTTTCTATTGGAAAAAAATGCCATTTTTTCCTTTGGGTCTCTTGACTCTTCAACTTCATCCTACGCTCGAAATCAACTGATTCTAAATGTGTTTAATTCGAGAGCTAAATCGCATTTTATAATCGAAAGAATTACTTCAATTGTAGTATGTTCTCTTTTGTGATCTAGTAATAACGGAAAGTTATTTCCTTAAAAAGCATTTTAATGCAAAATAATTGTTTTACTTTTTTTTCCTAAATAGAGATAAAGTACATTCCATCTATTAAAATGATTTTATCTGTGAAAAGTTATTAAAGACAAAATTCCCTCGACAGGGCTCCGTATGCTTTTAGCAAAAATGATTTCACTTTACCCCCTGCCAAAATATTTTTTTCTCATTTGTGAAATGAATTTTTGACGACGCACTCAAAGAAATTAACAAGTTTAAGCGGTGCTGTGTCACTGGGAAACCATTTAATTGTCGAACCAATTGAGAAATGCCAAACTCAAATTGCATTTGTCGATCTGATGTTATCTTGTCATCAAAAGTGAAAATGAAGACAGCATCGAGCATGAAGTGATTGAAACATAGGTCAACAAATGAGCCTTTTTGACGGGAAGCAGGACTTTTTTCTTCTATGGATTAATTAATGACAGTTTAACACAAAATAATATTTTAATACAGACAGGCCGTTGCCATGGGACAAAGATGGTAAAATCATTTTTTTTCAGGCTGAAATAATCTTTTATTGTTGGAGGAAGTGAGGCATCACACTTACTGCATTTACTCTTCTATAATTCTTTCCTCATTGATGATTTGGTTCAGTGCGGTATTGTCCGCAGAAGATGTTAATTGTCAACGAATGCTTTCAGAAACGTTAAGTTTAACTGACAGAAAGGATGAAATAAAAGTGTAGTTCTTTTAATGAAATAAAAGCTTTTACAATATCACACTTAGGCTTTTCACCTTTCTAGTTATATTAGAAAATTCATTCGTCATTTCATCTGGCCAAATTAAAAATGCTCGCGGGAATTGTCTGCAACGGCTGGTAAGCATTTCGCAGGAGTGAAAAGGAAAGCCCACGAGAGACTTCATGTAAAACCTGAACCATGAAACGTACGCCCGCGTGTCTGTCTTCAATGAACGCCAAACTTCTTTTCGTTTTTATTTTTCAATTGAGATACAAATTGCTGGGTCTTCGTTAAGCACACGCTAAAGCAAATTGAGCTATAGCAAGCGGAAAACAAAACAAACAGGATCTTCATGAATCCGCGATCTGTAATTGAAAGCGCAGATTGATGAGTACACCACAGCAAGGTAGCAAAAAATTTTAATTTCCCTTTCTACTTCACTCGCGATAGTTTGGCCAGCCATCAGGTAATTAACAAGTGAGAACAGAAAATAGTAAATGGCTTATTTTCGTCAAGATTAATTAAACAGCACAAAATGGAACCAGCCCAAAGCGACGCGGTTTATCAGTTTGGCTCGATAATTTTTGTCTCCGTGTCCTTATCTGTGGAAAGGTCTCAAATGTCTGGCCAACTTTTATCGCTCATGTCAAGACGAACTTTAATGCTTCTATGCTAATGAAGGAACGTGTAAAGAAATACGATATTTACTCTTGCTTCTTAGGAGATTTAAGTGTTATTTATACATTTCAATTAAAGAATGGGGTGTAATTGAACGCTAGAGAACGAGCCGTCTCTGCTGTAGAGCTCGGAGTTCGCTCCAAAGGTTGCAATAATCCCTTAACTAACTTCGAATCAGCGCACCACATCTCAAAGAGAAATTAATCGACTGCGTTGCGATCATTGTTCGCTAGCGCGAAACTCTGTTTAATTTTATTCGAAAAGAAACGAAAAACAATTGTTTTTGGTATTCGTAATTAGCGACAGCTCCCGAGGCACTTTTCAATTTACATGGGTTTGTGGTCAGATCCGGTTAAATAATTAAAAGGCTATTTGAAAAGTAGGAACACGGCCTAATCAATAGTATACACTGCATTCAATTTAATAAAATTTCATTAGTGTTATGCTAATCTCCTTGTGGGGGCATCTTTGATAACATAAGAGTAGCTTTTACTTTTATCAAATTTCCCAACTTCTCCGCACGATTGTTTTGCAAGAGGGCTCAAATTCAAAATCGAAGCAAACACGACAGTACCAATTTGTCACGGTCCTCTCGCGGAGTACACGCACCATATCGCCAGTAGACGAAACACGGTGTTCAACCCGTGTAAGCCCGATTACACATTCGTTACGTTTATAACAATATCACAAAGCCTTAGCGCGTTAATGAAACTCCCTTTCTTTCCTTTGCAGGCTGCAATCGCATCCCATTATTGTTTCGGCGGTACTGAAACGAACGTATCACTTCTGGCGGTAAACGTCCTCGGTGGAAGTTCAACGAGCTATGTCTTCTGAAATAAACGGTAAGGCTTTGAATTTCAGCGAGAACGGTGGCAAATTCTAAATTTCTTAGCAATGTTAACCAGATATGTTTTGAGAACACTCCTATGCATGGTGATGCTCGCTTGTCGAGACCTAAGCGTTAAAGAAATAATTTTCTACACAGCTAAATGACCCGCGATGTCAGTGTAAGAATGATTTATCATTGGTTTTTGCGTTCGAAAGGAAAATTATTTTGATGTGATCTAGAGATTCGTCGCAAAATGCCTTCTTTGCGCGCGTCAACTTTGAACATGTTGTCACATTTTTTTGTGGTCTTAGCCGGAAAAACCACATCATAGCAAGCAACAAGATGGCGACACTCAGCCTTTTTGATTGAGCTGTGACCGTAGATCAATTAAACATGCATGGAGGTTTAATATTGTATACATTTTCAATAACAACTCACTCGCGCGATTGGCTTATGGCTGCTCATGTGTGGAATTTTTAGTAAGTAAATCCTTTTAAAAGTGCTTGCTCTTGCTTCGCAAATTGAAGAACCCACGTTTTTGCGCAGTCCTCAATCTACACATGTTTGCCTTCAAGTAATCTATGTCCCTGACACTTCGCAGCCTCATAGACGAGAATTTATTAAAAGAAAGAAATAACGCATCGAAAGACGTTTGCAATCATTTGAGCTATTCTAGTATGTCAGCAAGACATATTCTGGTCCTTTCTTCTCCTATCAGGATTGTGTGATTAATAATACCGCTTTTAACAGCACGAAATTGAAATTATCAACTGGCAGATATTAAAAATGTTAGATTAAGGCGGCGGGGCGCTTCGAGCAATTGTGTACTTAAATAACAATGTTACGTTGATTAAAAATGTGTCGCTGCGTAAAAGAGAAGGTAATATTATCTTCATTGCTAATGGAGGAACTAAGGAAAATATTTGCTATGTTTTCAGTGTGGTGAATCACTTGTATATCGAATACAAAAGAAACATCCAGAAATCAAACAAAACAAAGAAAATAGAGAGATAAAAACACGCCATGCAATAAAACCCGTGTCGACTTTTCATCAGACTGTAGAGACAACATTAACTGATCTGTGGAAGTTTGCGCTCATCAATTGAACTTTCTTCTAAGTTTATAAAAGCAATGCTTTTACGGCTTAAAAGGGACTTAAGTTTGTTTTCACAGTTGTCGAAAGTTAAGTGCGTATTTTAGATTAAAAACACGTTGTTTTCGGCCCTGGTATAACGTGGCCTTAATGTGCACTTAGCCTAAAAGCAGCGCTACTCAGATCGTTATCTCCCAATAGTGCTTTTCCAAGTGTACTTTCCAATCCCAAATTCAACGGTGATTTCCGTGGCCCTCTTTCGCAAGATCGGTTCGCACTTTTTCCCTGTAGGTAATGTTTCAATCTAAGACTGGCAGGTGACAATGTTATGAAACTATTACTGAAAAATAGTTTTTTTTTAACTGTAGTTTTTTTCCAGAAATGAATAAATGAAAAAGTATTTTCAGAACAAAATGATGAAGTTCTGGTCGTGGATTCACTTTCAATCGATGTAATTGCAATGCTTCGTTAAGCCGAGAATAATCTTTGCACAAAGTATCAAAGAAAAAAACAGAAATACCTCGATAAAAACAACGGATTCCGCTTGTTTCAAAGGTAATATGAAATCTAAATTGTTTTTCGGAGGTAAATAAGCGTAGATTAATCAGTGGAAAAGCTGTCAAAGTTCATACGTTTTCTCATCACAGGAAACTGTTTGTTAAAAAGGGTGACGGTCAAAGTCCGTCTGCTAACAGCAAGTGAAAGCCTCGGCGCATGCTGAGCTAAAAGGTTTTAAGACTGTTAAAACAAGTGAAAAACAACGTTTATTCATTAGTAGGTATATTATACTCTGACGTAAGAGCTTGAACACTCCTGAGTAAAGTTGTATTCAAAGCAACACGACGGACAGGTTTATAAACAATCGAGTTCAAAGTTTAGGTGTAGGAATTTTCTGAACCTTTGTTGCGATAAAACCGTTTTGTATTAAACTGTAACAACGTCATGGTAACGATGAAGTGTAGTAGGAGTAGCTATGTGCTAGTGTGTCGGACAACACCTGCTATGCCTGGTACCAGAGAGAAAACGTTTATGTGCAAGCGTTACTAATATTTACTGAAATTTCTTGTCTATGGGTTCGACGCACCATTGAGATTTTTTTATGAAGAGGAGTTCGTCTGGAAGTATTAAAAGTCGTATACAGTTATAGCGGTTTAATTAACTTCATTAACATGAGAAACGACGGTAGTGTTTTTGATAAACTAACTAGGGGTCCCACGCAAAGTGTAACAAGCGCAGGATGTACTAGAACAATCTTGCACGCAATCGAGTAACGTAAATATTGGGTTAATAAATACGCTCTGTTTAACAACGAAAATAACGGAAACTAGTAGTAGAGTCACACCAACATACGTGAGTGAATAGTTTTTTTTGAGGAAAAAAAACAAACAAGTTAAATGGGTTGGAGGAACTAAATGTTGTGGTCAGGTAGATAACCATATTTCGAGGAAGCTGTTTGTCCTCTATCGACATGCAGCCATCCTGATAAAGACTTTTGTGGTTTAAGTACGTGTTCAGGCGAGCTCGCGAAACTGCTTTTTTAACCCTCTAGATAAGATAGTGAGAGGGCGATATTTTCGTTCCTTTCTGTATCTGTCGCGATAAGCTTTTATTTTCGCATTCAAATGAATCCGAACTGTAATTTGACATTGATAAGGGTGACGCTTCCTAGCCTCTCTGTGATAAATTGTTATTTTTCCATATGGATGGAGTTAGCGTTTATTGCTACAGTCCAGTCTAACCTTACACACCCATTATAAAAAGTTAATATCGATTCGTCTGGTCATTCAAATTAAAAGTCGGTGCTGTGTGATGGAGACGTATGTTTCAGCTTCTGTATCTCTTAATCTATATGTGGCACCGCCTCAACTTATTTCGCTAACACAACGCAGGCAGGACGCGTCAGTTATCAAGTGATCTGGAACCAACTCTTATCGGCAGAGGAATTGGATTTGTGTGTACAAACGCTTATTGGAAAGATGGAGATAACTTAAGACGAAGGAAAGGACAGACTGTGATAAGAACTCTGCCTTTTTTCTTCTGCTATCTGTTATTCTTGATAAACAGCTGGTCCATGATACCTCGACATCGAGTTCTCAGTAGCCTTTGTGATAATCCTTATGTTTCGCCTTTTGCGAAGGAAAAGCGTTCGTGTTTGAGACTCTAAAGTCTTTATTAGCGATGTCTTAGAGCACCATCCGAAAATCTCAGCAAAAAGTTATTGTGACGGACGTTGACGTTAAGTTGATAAAATCGAATTTTAGCTGAGAAATGCGGTCCACTTTATCAGCAAGTCTTAAGTTCAATTACCCCTATACTGAGTTTTGGTTCGGGATTTTCTTAAATCGCCGTTGTTGGATTTCTAAATAAAGTTTTTGGTTAATGGAAAAATCTCGAGCAATCTGTAATAAATTTCACCCCTCAGTGAGTTAGTCATTTGCTTCACTTCATCGCTCTCAGTTGAGAGAATTCTTTCATTATCAGGATTTTTATTTTAAAACGACCTGGCCAGCAATCCTGCCCAGCAATATGATCTTTCTGCTACAGAGAAATCCAAAGCAGCTGGAAATGTGGTTTCCACGATGTAAGGTGTGAAACATAATTTCAGTCACTCCAAATAGTTACTTTTTATCTATTTAATTTTGTCAAGAATGTCCATTTTTCTAATGTATCGTGCAAGTTAACTAGTCAACTGAATGCTAAGTAGCATCCTGCTTCATTCAATGACGTTATCTGTACAATTAAGGCAAATATTTATAACTATACTTAATAGTCGAAATATGGATGTCGGGAACTGTAGGCGCCACGGTTAAACGTTAAAAATAAAAATGAAGACGAATAGGATATAATCCAGCTAGATCGGTGTTCTCTCGTGTTCATAGTTTTCGGCTTTGCAATATTTTCTATCTGAATATCGATGAATTTTTAATTGGACGCTGTGTGTTGTGAGTCGCCAAAGCAGCACCTGGGCAACACGTTGTAAAGCTTTGTTCTAAGGCGCAATTCTTTCGTGTCTTTAACACCAGATTTTTTTTGTCTGAAGATAAAACGCATCGATTGCCTTGTATGTCATATAGAAAGCTTTTAAAGAAGTTATTTAATTTATTGTTCGGTTCTTTGTGTGTGTTTGCTTGTTTAGCAGCTTTACGCTCATTTCAGGAAATCATATCCAGTTTCGGCGTATCAAATGCTTAGTTCCTTTTGTTTCGTCGTGTGGTGTACTAAAGGCTTTAGAAGCACCCAGTTCAAGAGTAGTTTCATAATGGGACTCCTTGTTTCTGGTGACAAAATTCTTCCATTTTATTTTGAATCTTTATCGCTTACGGCCACGCAGTCGTTCACCTAACTTGGTGCTTAGATGGGGAACATTCACAACTCATTACTGGTGGGAAGGGAACTCAAGTTTGTCTGTTACACAAGATTCCGGACACTGATTCCATGTCCCTAACAGAAAAGCTTATTTTGTCTTTTCTTCAGGCCTCCTGTTATCAATAAAAACAACTGTTTTAACGAAGTAAAACATACTTATCCTTCTAAGGCTCTTTAAACACATCACGACCTCTTCCCTGTAAAACCACGTGACCCACCCCCTTGTTCCCTATATCAACAAACTTAGAGAGGGCCTGTTTCAGTTAATGATTAGTTTTTGCCCAGAAAAAGTGTGTATTTAAAGTGCACATGAAACGAAATATTTTGTGTGAAGTTTTAGCTTATCACTTGTACAAACTAATTTCGATGGGAGACAAAAACTTAAAACCCGGCTTTTCTGTTTTGTAAAGAGCTTTCATCATCTTCTTGAAAAGATTCCGTAGACTGGAAACGAGTTAGCAGCTGATGAAGTAGTAACCGAAGCGTGAAAGAGCGACACCACTACTTTCATACACTACATGATTAATGATACAGAATGTTGTGCGACAACGCAG